GGAGCCTGATGCGGGACTCGATCCAGGGACTCCAGGATCATGACCTGAGCTGAAGGCAGTCGCTTAACCAACTGAGCCACCCAGGCGCCCCAAACTTTTTTTATTTTTAATTAGAGACTAGATTTTAGTCTCTTAATTTCTTTTAGGTTTAAGGTTTTTCCAGCTCTTGAACTTTTAATTTATCTTTTTTGTTTTTATTATTGTGGTAGTTGTTTTGTTTTGCAAATCAACCCTTTGATAGAATCTGAACCAGAACCATTGAGGGTATAACTATACGCGAAGCCAGTGTTAGCCAGACAAATTAAGTAAACACCTGATTGTTTACTTTGATTAGAGTTGAACTGTGAAATTAATCTGCTTGCTGAATTTTTCCAAGATTTAGCAAGAAGAAATAATAAATCGTTGTGATTTTCTGTTCTCTTTCAGCTTTCAGAAGAATTATTAGATAAATGGCTCTCCTACCCAGAGTCCCAGCATGTACCCCTCAGCCAGCATATGCTTGGTTTTGCTATGAAGTCTGTTACACAGATGGTAATGGGTAGTACATTTGAAGATGACCAGGAAGTCATTCACTTCCAGAAGAATCATGGCACGGTAAGTCTTGGGACAAGTTTAAAATGATTCTTTCATCAAATTGGATAGTTTAATAATGTAGACTTTACCTTTCAAGAAGAAGATTTAGGATCTTGTAGTGTAGAATTTCCTTGTTCTGGGCTAAAATAGCAGTGCAAGCAAAGATAATTGTATTTCTAAAAAATGTAAGAATTACTTTTTTTAAGCAATTTTTGAAATTTAAAAAGCATCTAAATTTCCTAAAGAAATTTCCCCTTAATACTTACCAAGTATGTTATAAAATAATACTAAATTCTAGAATAAAGAGAAAAACTTTAATAGAACTAGGCTATGTCCCATATAGAAAGAAGTTAAAGCCAGTGGAACATTAAAATGTTAATGAAATGAATATGATTTGAAGAAAGCCTAATTCAGTCTAAAATTGATTTACTTTTTTTTCTAGATTCACATATGGAATTTATTTTATTCTCTATTTTTATCAGTTTCAGTATTAATTTACTTAATCCCAATATTAATTTATTTGGTTCAAATAATACTTGGGTCATTTTGCTGCATTTTGGGTCTCTGAGAAATTATTCCTTACTTTATACAAATCTACAAAAACATTTTGGTTAAATAATCAAGATAATGTGTTTAGAACAAAAATCACTAGAAACTGTGGCTTAACACTCTGTTATTGTTTAATATACTTTTCCCCATTAAAATGGTTTATTTACATATGTCTGATGATTACAAAATATGTTTCTTTTTTTTTTTTAAGATATTATTTATTTATTTGACAGAGAGAGACAGTGAGAGAGGGAACACAAGCAGGGGGAGTGGGAGAGGGAGAAGCAGGCTTCCCGCGGAGCAGGGAGCCCGATGTGGGGCTCGATCCCAG